GTCAAGAGTGACTCTACCGAATCTGCTCCTGCCATGTGCCCAACCTGTCCTGCCCAAGCTTCATTAGTGATGAGCGTGATCCCAAACCTGACCCCGACTGAGTGTCCCTGGAGTGGGGAGGACATGGGGAAGAGCTTGGTTGCCTGGCAGGGAGCAGTACCTGTGTGCCGCACAGACACCACCTGTTTCCTCCTCTCCTACCTTTGGATTAATGGGTTTTGGGTCTATTTAGAAACTCTCTTTTGCTTATTTATCTGTTTTGCCAGTCCAGCCTACTGGTGTGCACGCACCATGTCTGATGCTTTGACCAGTGGCTGGTAGACCCGTCTGTTCCTGGCCATCAGGCCTGCAGCTGGCCCCCATCCCTCTCCTCTGGGTTGATGGGACACATCCATGTGTTGGGGTTGTGTGTCTCTCTGTGCCCCTCACCAGGATGTTTCGCCTTTCCGATTAACGGACTCTGCCTCCTTCTGTCCCCTCCTGCAGTATTTCTACGAAGGAAACGACATCAGCGACCTGCCGGTCAACTTGTCCGTGGTCTGGAACGGGAACTTTGTCATTGACAACCCCCAGAACATCCAAGGTGAGTGAGGGATGGGACAGGGATGGGAAAGCAGCCTGGTGCCCACCCCAGGCTCCCGCCTGCCCCGATCCCCTGCCCTGACTGTGGTTTGCACCAGTGCCTTGGGGGACGGAGTGATGCTCTGGCTGCATCAATCAGTTGGGTTTTTAAACAAAAGGCTTTTCTGCAAGAAGCTTTGGGAGAGAGCCAGAGTGCTGGTGCCTCCTGCCCATGGGGATTGCTCCCGCAGCAGCCAGTGACATGCATGCAGTGGGGTGGGCAAGAGTGGGTGCCTTTCCCCCAACAGCCCCATATCCATGGGCTGAGGGGCATGCTGACCCCTGTGTGCTCCTCTTGCCATTGCAGCCCACCTGTACAAGTGCTCGGCCCTGCGGGAGAGCTGCGGTCTGTGCCTGAAGGCTGACCCGCGCTTCGAGTGCGGCTGGTGCGTGTCGGAGCGGCGGTGCTCGC